TTATTTCAATACCTATGTATGTAAATCACGAATTTCATGAAAATCTACTGACCCAATAATTTTGTTGATGTTGGTGTTTTGGAAAATGATGTCACAGTTTGAATTGTGCATAAGTAGGTATGTACCCATATATGAATAAAAGAGCGGATTTGTGGATAAGGATGAGTATAAAACTATTCTAGAGTATAAAAATATACTATAGAATATGAAATATATTAATTACTCAAACGGATCGACTAATACGCAATAAAAATGTAAGTTAATATGTCCAGCTTCAAAAAAATATTAATCAAGCTAATTTCTTTTTTTACAACTTTTTCGACAACCGCCCTTTAAATCTGTCAATTGAAAAACTGAAACATGACGCATGTGAGTCAATGTGATATTTCAACACCCGTGATGAACTTATAATCAATATCGCGCGGAATTTTGATCGGCTTCACCAAATAGTAAAGAAGTTTTCAAAAGTTTATAATAACGACTTTATATTTTTTAATATTGACGCAAACCGCGTGAGACATTTCGAAAGCTTTATTATTGGATAGAATGGTCATTGCCGGCACCTTTGCATCTGTTATTATCTTAGAAACAATTTTCGATGATGGATGTTGGCTCTGAGTGTTGTTAAGTCGTGGAAAAAATCGACTGTGCTTTTTCTTAAGAAAAAAGGCGGTATTCAGCGGCGTACTGTTTGGTTTTTGGCACCGTCCTATTGAAATCACATGTTTCGAATCCGAATTTCTAGCCGTAAAAAGGTTTGTTCTCATAGGATCTATACAACTTGCATATCGCTTGAAACAGGCTCATGTCGATTAATTCAACGTAATATTGAAACAAGTTAGAACGAATTTATGTTGGATCCGGGCGAACTTTTTCAGCCTTCCACCTTCAGTAAAATTAATAGGGGCTTCTAGGAGAATAGATAGGACATTGAATATACCGAAAACGACGTGAGAAAAATATGATTACAAAATAGAGAGGGTAGAGAGGGTGATTTTATGGGGTTACACCAAAACGAGGATCAAATTTTCAATTTTATTTAATTTGTGTTTATTTACTTTGTAATTGAAGCCAAATTACAATTTAATGGCCAATTTATATATAATTACAAAGAATCCACCTTACATCATAGCTACTCTGGAAAATAGCTACTCAAGAAATGTTGGGTAGATTAAAGTCTCTAAGACAAATCAATTCAAAGTTTGTTAAATATGAAGAAATATCTTTAATTAGTTCAATATGTTTTAGATAAATATCTAAATCAGAATTTGGAGCAATATAGGAGCACGTTAAAATTAATGAAATATTTGATAATTTTATTTTAATGCAAACTAGCTCAATGTTAGGATGATCAGGTAATTGAAGGCGTTCAGAAGCTATGGAATTATGGACCGCTATTAGCACTCCATCACCTATTTTATTAATTCGATCATTGCGATATATTTGATATTGATCAGAAAAAAGTTCACTGTCGCGGATATCTGGTTTAAGCCATGTTTCTGTAAAAGCAAGAATTTTATATTCATAGTCAAAAAATTTTAAAAAAATATTACAAAGTTTTGTTTTTAAGCCTCTAACATTTTGATAGATCAAGTTTAAGGAATTTTTTAACATTAGTTTTTTTTTGAAGAGGCAACAATGGCGGAGAATTTGCAGGGTTTTCCTTTTCCCTAAACAAAAATTCTTTTACTAGTATACCGTCGGGCGAAAAAGATTTATTAAGAACAACATCGAATACTTTGTTTGGAACAATAAGCTTAAATGAAGAAATCTCGCGGGGAGTTGATGAATTAAATTTAAAAATTTTATAATCACTCTCCGGTAGGTCTTTCAATTTACTACTAACATAACAACGAATATTATCCACTGTCGTATCAGCATGTAATTTAGATATAAAGATAGTTCTTCTAGGTGGAACTACTATCAGTTCTTAGTAGGATCAGTCACTATATTGGAAGCTTGAACAGGTATTGGAATAGGAGCATTAACGATTATTGAGAGTAATATTTGATGTTATACCATAAGAGTAGGTGCTGAGGGAGGAGAGGTCTCTATCGGAGTACTGCAACCATTAGATGATTTAGTGGCGACACCACTAGGTGAATTTTGCTGAAATATTATTATTAGTATTGTTGCGTAGCGGAGCCACAACTGGTGAGTTTAGTGTAATTAAGTTATCACCTTGAGCAACTTCTAACGATTTTTTTCTTTTCGGTGAACCATCTGCAAACTCAAATTAATTAAACATTTTTTTCAAAATTTTCTAGGCGTGAGTAAACCGAATCGACACCCCTCTTCAAGGCAACCATTTCAAGTTTAGCTTAGTAAATTTAATAATTAATTTCACTGATTGAAAGCAGTAAGAAAATCACGTCTATTCACTACGGGAGTTACCAGATTTCTATTTCTATATGCATTATCATGACTACTCAAATTACAGCCAATTCAGTTCGAAAAAGTATCCAGAATTCCCAAAATACCGAATTGGGTCAATTTTAATAATTTTTTAGCAGTTTACCTGCCTGCAGACAAAACACAACTCTATGCAAAATTTTGGAGATCTATCTCAATTCGTATAGAGGCTATAGTGATTACAACAGACAGAAGGACAGGCGGGCTTTATAGAGTCTCAAATTACAAACGGAAAAACAAACGAGTTACAACGGGGAAAAAAAACTTAATATAATCCCCATACTATGGTGGAGGGTATGAAAATACGACCGCGATGCTTTTACGAATCGAAAAAAATACAATTGACCGAAAAAGGTTATGGGTGAAAGAAACGCTTCTGCAAAACTGGAATGGGGCGAAAATCGAATGATAGGACATCCGTCGTATAGTTCTGACTTTTCGACAAGAGGGTTTAAACCCATAAACTTCTTCTCGTACTTGATTTTGGGTTGGTAAAAATATGGCACTTTTTTCGAAATGAGGATGAGAAACGTTTTTCATCATAATAATGTTTACATATACTCCTTATGGATATGAAAATCAAGGGGTTTCTTTATAGACATGTCAGCTTTGAGTATAATTTGTAAACGCATCCAATACTAATCACCGAGCTTTCACTGCCAATTTATTTAGTAATCTCAACATTCTCTTTACAAAAATGTCAGAGAAAAAGAGAACCACCTTAAGAATAGCCGAAAAGGACAAAAAACCTATCAGTTTCTAACTGAATATACAGTTTTTCTGGTAAGCCTATATTTTGCCTTACATCGGATATAATGAACTTCTTCTATAATGGACAAATTTGCCTGGTCCCTACAAGTTCTCTATAACCGTACTCGACTGTATGTTAGAAATTATACTGTCATATAATCGTAACGGCTCGTGTTTGGGTATTTTGCAAAAAAAAAAAAAAAAAATTGTTTGTATGTGCATTTTTTTAACTCTACCGATTTTCAATATTTACGTGTTATTGATAAACGTTTATATCAGAGTACCCCACCTGATTCTATATATATTTAATGAACTATTTCGTGGTTCTGAAGTCTATTTTAGGGCCTCGATACCATAAATTAGGTGATCGTTACATTGGATATGGCTTATTCGGTAATGTTATTGTTTTCCCAATGGTGCCACTAAATTTTATCTAATCTGAGTGACATATATGTTCCAAGGTACCTCTCGGATAATAATGTTTCTGAGAAAACTATTTAAACAATTTTGGTCTGTTCCAGTACTTTTTAATAGTAAAGCTAGTAAAAGGGAAATATTTTAACACTAGAACGCCGAAGGCGGTCATTTTGACCGCTTTCCAATTTCAAGTACAAAAGCAACTGTGCATTTAATGACACTTTTTTTAAAATATGGTGACTTTTCGTACCTCATAGAATTACGTTTATTATAAAAAATTCACCAAATTTAAAAAAAAACTGTCATTAAATGCACAATTGTTTTTGTACTTGAAATTGGAAAGCGGTCAAAATGACCGCCTTCGGCGTTCTAGTGTTAAAATCGCTCTCAGAGTACAAAATAATTTGGAAAGTTCAAGAACGCAAATCTAGTAAATATGGCAAAATTATAATTCCAAAATGACTTCAAAATCAGCATAACAGTCAATCAGAAGAAGGCATTCCTGTTTACCATTTTTACTCGGCCAAATTTCTCGAGTAAAAAGATTACAAAGAGAACGCCATTTGGTATTGTGATCTCTTAAAAGTGATTCAATGTTTTACCAGTTTAGGAACTCCAAAAACGTTTAGGAAATGTTTTCTAGTAAAAAGTTGCAAAACTTGTAAAATTAGTAGATTCTGGAACGGAACTTATATGAAATATGGAACGAATAATTTAATTCGACTATTCTAGGATAACATATTTGAAAACCTTTACTCTGAGCATAATCACACTCCAAATTACAATTCAATTGTTTATTAAATACAATTTGAAATATGATCATAATTTCTATTTATGAATTCACTTAATAAAATATTCACATTGCCTTTACTTAAATTGCATATGCAAATTCTACACATTTTTCATAGTAAAATAGGCAAATCTCCCTAAATTCGTGATAATCGACAAACACTAATCTTATTAGGCCAGCAAATTTTCATGAAATTTGAATAAAGGTATTTTGAGAAATAACAATAATTTAATTTAATTTTATTCTAATTTCTGCGTTATCATTTCAAAAATTCGAAATCCCTTTTGCCCTTTTCTACATCAATAAAATTTTCCCACAATTTTGTTTTCTATTAAATAAATATAAAAAACAACATTTAGAGATATATAAATAATGAATATGATTTGATTTAGTTTACATTTAGTTTTTAGAAAACTGTTTTGTTGCTGTTGTTGTTTTTTTATCTCTTAATTAACACCTAATTTTTGTTTTTTTATTTTGTTTATCTCTTATATTTTCTTTTTTGTTTTGTAATTTTTATAAATGAATTTTTGAATGCCACTTAGTGTTTGTGTGTGTGTATGAATTTTATCGGTTGTTGTTGTGCTGCTGCATTCATATGTATTGCTGCAATTTTGCTTTGTTTATTTACTTTTTATCATCCTTTTTCACATAGACAATTTCCGCATATTCAGTTGAATTTTTTGGTGGCAGTGGTTCATTATTTTCAGCGGGTTTTAATACAAGTTCTGCATAGACGAGTTGTTTGTCTTCCTGTGGGAAAAAATAAATAGAATTGGGAAAAATAGGTAAATATTAAAATATATATTGCAATGCAAATAACAATTTTAGATTGACATATAAATGTAATTTATTAATTAACTTTATATATAATTTAGAATAATTCCAATGGGCAAAAATGTATGTATGTTATGCATACATATGTAAAGTAATTTTGCCTATTATTTTCATAGAATCGGACAAAAGTGGCCACATCGACATACATATAGCCATGTTTTTGTTTCCAAATATGAACTTAGAATTTCAAAACGGCGAAGGAACATTTGTTGGGAGTTTTGAAATATTGTTCATAATACAAATAAGTAAAAAAGGCGTGAAGTATGCTGATAGTCACATGAAATTGAGTTTCCAACCCCACTTGGAACTATAATAAAGCATTCATAATTTTCGACTAAATGTATATAATATATGGAAGATCGATTCAGATGTAGGTAGATCTGAATCGATTTCGATACGTTATGGGTATCAATCGAACAAAATTTATAGAAAATCGAGCGAATCCATAAACTATATGTAATCCTAATCTGATTTCTTATACTTTAATCAATACTCGATACGGTACGCTGTGCACAATTTCATGTCAATTGGACACACGGGGGTGCACCATTGTAGAATCGGATAAAAATATATATGGGAGCTATCATGAAAGTCACTGATTCCGATCAATTCCCTAATTCAATTTCTACAGTTATCTTTTACCATTATTAGATTCCCATCGATTTGATGAATACCGAAAACTGAAACGAAATACCTCAGATTTTTATACGCTACACAACTATGTTGTCAGGGTATTATAGCTTTGTACAGCCCAAAGAGTTTGTAACGCCGCAAAATATTGGTCCTAGATCCACCTTTAATTATACCGATCGTCATATCTTGACTAGCTGAGTCGATCTAGACATGTGTGTCTACTATATTTTGTAAACATGACACAGGCCACAGTTAAGGACCAATCTTCACGAAATCTAGCATTTGGATGGGTTCTGGCCAATGAAGGCCCCAATTGTTTTTGGTAAAGATCGGTTGATATTTAGGAGATGAATTGGACCAAATACTTAATTATTGACTAATTTTCTGGTCGCCCAAGAGGCCGCAATTATGGCGAAATTTTACATCGAGAAGGGGATCAGGCCAACGAATAAGCATGACTGTTTTCATAAAGATCGATCAATATTTACCGGGTCAAATGGACCCTGACTTTTGTGAAAAATTACAAATTTTGTATTTTATGGCGAATATATTTACTACTGACGGACATAGACCCGAGAAGTTGACAGTATATTCAAGAGGCGTGGTTGACCTTCAAATTGATACCAATTATATGGTTGTATGTACTCGGATGTGGGAGTTATACGTGAACATTTGAAGTTGTGTTATGATATTGTTTAGTACTACTAGCTTTGACATTTTACATAAAGTTCCGGTTATGGTCAATGACGATCCCCATATTTTTCGGTGATGTTAAGATGACTTAGGGTGCAATAAACCGAAATCTTTATTTTTGTCAGATTTTCAAGTCGCTCTAGAGGCAATTATTATATGCAGAACATCACATATTTTACACGGTGAAGGGGATCTGAACAATTAATAATTAATATTCCAAGGTTAAAATCAACCACAACCTAAAGAGACCACATTTTTATTTTATGGGTTAAATATACACATCGGGAAAACAAGATTTGGAAAATGTATAACAATAATTTTGTTGTTGTAATATAATTAGTAGGCCTCAATTGGCTTATGAGTATGTCCTTCTATGTAGGTGGTATTACCCACCCATGTGGTGAGTAATACCTCCACCTAATCTAACCTAATATAATTAGTTCTTGCGTATAAATGAACCGCTGTTCTCCAATTTCATAAGGGTACGTCGTTGGGCCAAATAAGTTAGTTGTGCCAAATTTAATCTTATTCGGATCATATGGTCGCATATGCTTTGTTTACAAGAATACATGGACAGACATGCATAAATCGACTCAGAAAGGGATTCTATGCATATTCTTAAAAGGAACCATGTGTCGATCTCGTTTCCTTTTGCCTGTTACAAAACATATTAGAGTTGTGTCGTTCCAGGAACGACCGGTACTAGGTCCAAATCTTTCGTTCATCTAGTTCCTTTTGTTCCAGTCGTTCCTTCTTGCTCTCGTTCACATAGTTCCTTTTGCTCCATCGTTCCTTCTTGCTCTCGTTCACATAGTTCCTTTTGCTCGCTCGTTCCTCTTTGCTCTCGTTCCTTTTGTTCCGTTGTTTTTTTGCTCCCATTGTTAAATTCGTTCCACCAACTCAAAAATGTCAATATTCTTTTCTCCCGTTGTTAATTTCGTTCCACTATCTCACATATATGAGGATCAGTGGCGAGATCCGAAACTATAGTCTTCCCTGCCTTACCCCTCGGCGGATAATGCCAAACATTCCCCACTAATAAATAGTTGTTTTTTATAAAAACAACACACTGGGATTAAGCCTGACTATTTTGCAAAAACAAAATACAAATGGTATCCCAAATAACCCGCCAACACTACTGAAGTTGTAACCGAGGCACGGTCATACTGTTTGGTTTATTGCTTTAACTAGCAATACCAACAACAACGTTATGTGCATTGGTCACAAAGTGATGATACATAGCAGTGGGAAATGTATTGTAGTTGTATGTAAATGCCTTGTTGACCACGAAGTCAGGCGCCAACGAAACGAACTTCTCATTGGGGTCGTATCGCTTGTAATGTAAGAACTTCGAATTGTCACAAGAGAAATTTGGGTTTGAAAGGTTTTTTGTAAAGAAGCTATTAATAGCTTCTGGGGAGAATATCCCAACAAAAAACTAAGGGAACTGATGAGGATCAGTGGCGAGATCCGAAACTATAGTCTTCCCTGCCTTACCCCTCGCCGGACAATGCCATACATTCCCCACTAATAAATAGTTGTTTTTATAAAAACAACAAACTGGGATTAAGCCTGACTATTTTGCAAAAACGAAGACCAAAAATTTTAAATTTTTATTTAATATCATAATATCAAAACACTTATTGCACTGTTACACCATTTGTATGAAATTTGAATATATATCAGCTATATTTACATATAATGATTTAAATCAACCGTGACACACGTTATTCTACTCACAATATAAATTTAGAGTGTATTTCAAAAAAAAAAAAAAAAAAAGCACGAACGATAGTATTGACCGAACGAACTGTCGTGTACCATTGGACGAGTGAACTAAAAGGAACTATGGAACTAAAGGAACGACCTAGTTCCTTTTGCGGAGCGGACCGAAAAAGATCGAACCGCTCAAGGAAATACATTGCCCAACTCTAAAACATATGCACAAAGTCATAATACCATGGACCACAGTGTGGTGAAGGGTATAATTAACCTTTGAGCCGAATTTTGTCCGTAATCATAGAAAAATTGTCTGTTCACAAATTTAATAATGCAACTGTCCTTGATTGGATATGTACAAAATTTGACATCGCTACATCCTTGGTCCAAAGAAAGCAATATTTCGATGAGCCACATTTTTGTTTTAGCAAAGTATATATGATGCCTTATATATTCCGTATAGAAAAATATTGCAGACGACCATTTTCTATTTTTCTTTTTCAAATCTATTATTACGTTCATAATACTAAGTTATAAATATTATTTATTTTTATTCGAATCGATTTAAGGTCACAAAAATCGTATTATTATATAAGGGAACAATTTTTAAGATATTTATATAAGGGGAACATTATTTTTTGAATACCTTTTGAGCGTTTCATTGTTCTATTTGAATGTCCATTCGGGTGAAGATGTTTGCCATATGATTACCTTTTGTTGTGGATAGTTTGTGTGTGTAATACGAAATTCATGCATTTTAAACAAAATTCGTAACAGAGAAAAAAATAGAGAGAAGAACGAATCCATTAAGAAGAATAAGCAGAAGACGAAATTGAATATTGAGGAAACATTAAAGGAAACTCGAAATAATATGTTCTATTGGGTAGGGTAATCAAAATAAATCTAGATACAAACAACTAATGTAAATTCAGGCAAACTACAAACAATACGAATGAATCATTCCAGAAAAAAAACGCATTGGAAACCCAAGATAAACAAGGATCATATTTCTACAAATCAAAGGAAGTTCTTATTTTAACAGCATTCACATAATGATGATTCAATGAAACTAAATGATATTAGAAAATCATAATTGGATTTGATAAACCCCGTTTGTATTCTTCCGCCTTTTAAGAAAATTGAAGTAATAGCATTAAGTGGGTAAAGGGTGGGTTGGGAGAAAAACTCTGACCAAATATGTAGGACAAACCATAAAAAAGAAGAGGGACCAAAATATTGCTAATAAAATACAAAAGTAAGATAAAGAAATAAATATATAAAATAATAAAAAATAATGATTACAACAATACCTTTGGTTGATTGTCATTGCCATCAGTGGCACCATCAGGTGACAATTGTTCATTAGCTGTTCCAGTACCTGCAACGTCTGCTGTCGAACCGTTCTCGTTGTTGCCAGTTTCCGTTTCGTTGTTCTTCCGGTATTTGGTGGATGCATCTCGCTCATTCATGCGCTTGAATATGGCAGCAAATGAGGGCAATCGTTTCGACTTCTTGTTACAGCTATCCCCGGTTACTGGGGCATTTTGATCAACTTCCGAAGCTGCGGCTGTGGTTGCAGTTGTTGCCGTTGAGGTGGCTTTCACATCGGCACTTTCTGTATCGCTACTGCAGTTTTCCGTTGTTATTGTTGGTGGTAGTGGCATCGTTGAAGAAGACCAATCCAGGATGTTACAAAGAAAAGCGTAACATTTGTCGTCCGTTGGTTCATTTGTGTCATTTGTTGTTGTTGTTTCGTTTGTTTGTTCGGTTGGTTTTTGTTGCAAACATGGAATGTCATTTTGAAGGCATTCATTCAATCATTCGTGGTGTTGGTGGTAGTTGTGGTGGTGGTCAATGTGGTCGAGAGAAAGTAATGGTAACAAACAAAGTGAGGAGGGGATTGTGGTTATTAGAAAAATCAAGATGATGATAGAGGTGCTTAATGAGCTATGTTGTAATTGTTTGTTTGTTAAAGTGTGTTAAGAATATTAAAATTTTTTGTAAGTTATAATAATGTAGTTTGTTTTACAAAAACAGAAAATATGAAATAAAAATAATCAGAAAAAAAAAACTTTTCCTTGGGATTACCAAAAATAGGTCAATACAGTAATAATGTTTTGATGTTACAATATTTTTTAAGAGTGTTAATAATAAATGTCATATATAATACAAATACATATTACAGATTTGTTATAACCTATATTTTGTTACAATCGTATCCATTTCCATGATGGTATAATATCTCCAGTTCCCATGTAAATTAAGGTTTATAAAAATGAGTTTATTTTACAATTTAATTGTTTGAGTTCAGTGTAAAGTGGTCGGCGGAAACATCTTTGCATTGCAATTATAAATAGTTCTGAGTTTAGGTGTAATAATTTAAAATATCATATAATACAAATATAAACTAAAATTATAATATCTTCTGAATTCATTTTGTTATATACCATTATACCTCGAAATATGTTTCGGGTACCCCATAATGTACATATATATTTTGATCAGAATAAAATTCTATTTGGCCCTTTCCGTTGAAACCGCGATACAGCTTTCAATTTTCCATTTCTTGCTACTATTCTTAGTGAGTTTGGTATTGCTAATGGGATATATATATAGGTCCACATGTTCGTATAGCCCCCATATGACGATCTTACACCATTTTCGGTATTTTAATGGGTTTCACGAATAGTGATTATTCTAGTATTTTAAATGGTTGAAAGATCCAAATCAAATCTTTGCACTAATAAATATAAATATGTGCCAATTTTTGACCGAATTCGTTGTAATTAGGTTACCAGATCATAGGGTTGTAGCGCATTTTGCGGTAATTTGGTATGTTGGATTCTAATTGGGTACCATATATTCCTGACAATAATTATTGGTATTTTGTAATAAATCTCCCTACCAAAAATTAAATATATTCGCATAGGCATAGCTCCCATATTAGGGTACCCATAAATTTTCGATGTATTGGGGTTCTTAAGCGCGTTTTTCAACCGAATTTGCTGAACTTCGGCAAGTTGAATTCGTATTACGTACCAAATGTTTCCACGAAAAATTATAAATATCGGTCCACTTTTTTTGGTAGCCCCCATATAACAGTACCTCCTAATTTTCAGTATTTTGGGGGTTTTCATCGTATTTTTCCACCGAATTAGCTGTAACTTAGTATTTTGAGTTCTTAATAGGTACCAAATCTCTCCACAAAAATTATGATTATAGGTCCATTTTTCGAATAGGCCCCACATAATGCTACTTCCAATTTTCGGTATTTTGGGGTTCTTGAGCGCCTTTTTCAACCGATTTTGCTGCAATTTGGTATTTTGTAGTCGTATATGGTAACAAATCTCCCCATCAAAAATTATTAAAATTCGCCCCCTTTTTGGGGTAGTCCCCAGAAGGAGTTTGGAAGAAATAATAAGATGAAATCAAAATTTTCTGAAACGGATTTGGTCCAATGAAACATTGGGTCTAGAACCAATATTTCGATGAGGCATATTTTCACCGTGTCAAAATGTATACACTCCCATTAGCCATAAGGCTGAGGGTATAATTATTCATTACAAATTTCTGAAATTTGTATTATGGTTTACATAATGGGCTTATAGAAATGTCGGTATAGGTCCACTTTCCTCCACTAAGTTGGAGGGTCGAACTTAACGCTTTTTCCCATGTTTATATTAAAATATTTAACCATAGTATTCTGCACGCTAAATTGTCAGTTTACACCCTACAAACTATGGAATTCTAAGGCGAATTTACCAAGAATTAACTATATCGGCCCTCATTTAGGCCTAGCACCCCTATAATGTGACCTTCTTATTTTCGGTACTTTTAATATTTAGAGTAAAGGAAGGTATTGAGATAAAAAACTAAAAGATTAGTTTCGAAATTGGGCTAAATTGGTCCTCAATTAGGCATAGCCCCTCACATAATAATAAATCCAAATATTCCCTATTTCCTACACTATGTAATCAATATTGATCCCGTTATAGATATTTCCACATATAACTTTGCCCTCTAAATTGCAGTATTTTAAGGATTTTATACACATGTTCTTCCTACTATACGTTATCAATATCGATCCAGGTTTCTCTCCATTAAAAATGGCTAAAATTTGTATTTTATGCACATTATGGTTTACAACAATCGCTTGATACAACTGTCGATATGGGTCCTTTTTGTTATGTTCCCTATATTTGCATTTCAAGTAACTGTCAGTATTCTATGGTGGAGGGTATTCACTTGTACGACACACCCTATTATATAACGCAACCTTCCGAATTACTTATTTAAAGAAAAATTGACACTCAAATCTAACGGGGGCTAAATTAAATCAGCATATACCTGTGGGGATTAGTGGACCTTATATAGACTAGATCATATCATGTTTTTTCAGTATTTCGAAAATTTTGGACGCGATTTTCGATAGAAACGGCTGCATAAGTTAAGATTTCGGTTTTATAGACAATATTGTGAGAATTGGGTATCATGGATTCATATATAGCGTACAAAAAATTGACAATTTCAATAGGTGTCAACTTTTGACAACTTCAATTTGTCAATTTGCATCTCATTGAATCAAAAAAATGCGACCTGTACTTTTGTTTATAATAATATAGATTGACGGATAGGTATACATCGACTCAGAAAGTGATTATGTGTATATTCTCAATTGTAAACATCTGCTTTAGAAACATTTGCACAACGACATAATAATCTGTGTAGAGTATAGAAATATCGAAAAATGAATATACACAACCCGACGTGCACAAATATGCACACATTATATTTGTATGAATTTGATTGTTACATTTACCAAAATCAAACAATTCAAAAACTTCATAAAATTAAAAATTTTAGCCAACAAATATGTCGGTTATATTACAATTCAAATATTATAATTATAGTCAGAACAAAAACAACAACAAATATAATATTTGGTGCTAATAAAATTGTTACAATTTAATACCAATTAGAATTTTGATAACTGAGCTGACTACATCATGTGGAAATATTGTTAGTTATATTAAAACATAACACATATGTATATGGGCATTTCCGTGAAAAAGTCGAATGTAAAGACTAGAAATGTAAAGAAACAAAGTATCATGATAAACCCAGATAGGGGAATAATAATGTTTGATACTCTTATTTATGTGAAAAATGTCTACTTTCAAAAGTCTACAAAAATGTATTAGGGGAAATTGTAAAAAGTTGTTTGTGTTTGATATTTAACATTTAATATTTTATTTTTTCTCCGAATTGTTAGAAACCGCGGAAATGCTCATACGCTTGTTTTTTGTTTCATTTGATAAAATATAAAATTCTCGAATTATTATATTTCGAATTTTACATTATTACATATGTATTCGTATTGAGTTTGAATGTATACATTGTTTTAAAACTCATCATACACGGTTACATTATTGTGGCGATGGGAAATTGATCGGGAATTTTATTACGATGATTACGAGGTACATTTTTGGCGAAAATATTTTATTATGAGGGAGTATCGTTATATCCAAAATAATAAATTACAGCCAAACTGGAAGAAATATATATATATATATATATATATTTTGTGGGGTCTCCGGTGAATAATTCGAGTAGCACATAAAAATGAAGTGGGAGGTACTACAACATTTTTGTCAAATTGTTACTATTTTAGTATCAAATATCAGTTGTAAAGTAATTGTATTCATTCATAAATATTGGGGGGTTTTAAAAACCAATTAAATTGGAAAAATGTTGGTTACATTGTAATTTAATTACGTTCAGGAAAGAATGTATGCAATTGTAATCAATATGTATTAGAGGTTTTTATACGGAATAATGCGTAAATATGATATTCAGATGAAAAAAATAACCAAAATTAAATGTCAAAGCATGGGAAAATACTGTCAATTACTAACACTTTAATGGGAAGCTGATAATATTTTACATGCGATACTTAGTTATTATATTTTAAAAGAATTTAAATTCTTTAATAGTTAATGGAGAGCCCACAACAATGTACGGATAATATGATGGAATATATGACGTTCAGGACATGCAGGGTAGATTACAGCTACTTTCGTAAGTGGCCGATCGTAATCAATGCTTATTCGTTTGAAAGATCTCACAAGAAAAACAAAAAAGATTGTAATTCTGTAACTTGTAATGTCGGAAAGATATCATTATTCCTATTGTATCACACAGTAACAAATCCCCTATACAGGCATATCATTTTTGGACGACATTGACAAGAAATCGGATGAAAATAAATATGTGATCTATATATAGGAGTTGTGTTCAAATCTCAACCGATATGAAGAATACTAAATATTCTTCATACTTACATAAGATCGGACAATAACAAAACTAAGCATACTTCACTGTAGGCCCTATTTGAAAAATTTTAAAAAAATTCGTGCAATTGGAGCGATCTATTGTCAGATTTTCAACTCAATTAAAAAAAAAATGATTTAACAAAATAGTTTGACAGATGTCAAATTCCAGTCCCATAGTTATGAAACCATGAAATCTGAACGGATTTACACAATTTTTGGTTCACTATGGTTTGCTGTGCAAATTTTCATTTTCATCGGACCTTCCGGGATTGGGGGACCATTTACATCAAATTA